GGAGAGCGACGCTTATTAGCCTGTTCGATCATCCTCTGTTGGGCCTTGAACATATTAGTTCTCGCTTTCTCTAGGTCCTTCTCATAACTCTTGGTGAATTCTGCAGTTCCAGGAGTTAGTTTAGGCTTGGACTTGTCAATCAGATCRTCCAGAGGTTGTCTGGGGTCTCTTGCAAAGTGCATCCTATAGGGTGTAAAGCCTGTGGTGTTGTGAACAGACGTGTTATACATCAGTGGTGCCCGTGACAGATGTCTGTCCCAGTCCTGCTGATCGGGTGTGATCACAGGACGCAGCAACTGAAACAAGACCTGGTTCATCACTTCGGTCTGTCCATTGGCTTCGGGATGTCTGCCAGAGGTCATGTCTAGTCTGGAATGTAGGTAGTCCTTGCAGAAGGACTGCCAATCATCGCTGCAGAATCTGGGATCTCTGTCGCAGACAATGGAGGTTGGACACCCATGGACATTTACCCACCTCTCACAAAAGAGCTCTCTGACCAGAGGTACTCTGGCCTCAGCAGGTAAGGGGATAAACTCAGCATACTTAGAGAATCGATCCACACAAACCATTACCTGTCTCATTCCACGTGGAGTGGTTTTGCCCAGGTCTGTGAAATCAATGGACACTTGCCCAGGTCTGTGAAATCAATGGACACTGACTCACCTGGACCGCCAGGGATAGGTAGGGGTTTGAGAAGTCCCATAGGAGGTCGCCTATGGACCTTGTTCCTTTGGCACAATTCGCAGGTCTCCAAGTAATGCAGGATATCGTCCTTCATTTTAGACCAATAGAAACGTTGGGTCAGGGCAGCATACGTCTTTAAGAACCCAAAGTGACCGCGAGCATCATGGCTCTCTAAGATCAGATGAGTGATGATCTTGCGATCATTAGGGATGCACAAACGTTCTTCCCCTTCGCTGATTGTATACAGCAAGCCTGAAGTCAAGGCATAGCCTGACTCAGAACTGGGGTCAGCCTGTAAATTCCTAAGAACGGGGCCAAAGTTTGGATCCTGAGGCAACGCATCAGTAATGGCCTTTTTGGTGGAATCAGCAAAAGAGTATGTGTCAACAATGGCTGTGAAGGAATCAGGTCTACGGGACAATGCATCAGCAACCCTGTTATAGCATCCCTTCTTGTGCTTCAGTTCAAAGTCAAATCCGTCGATGAACTGAATGTACCTTGCCAGTTTATCATTTAACTCACCTTGGGTCTTTATCCACTGCAGGGTGGAGTGATCAGAAAATATTTTAAAATGTCTCCCAAGTAAGAAATGCTTCCACTGTTTGAGGGCACAGACGAGAGCATACAGTTCCTTTTCATAAGTAACGCTTGAATTCTTTGCACCTTTATTTTCTTACTCATGAATTCCACCGGTTTCAGGCCGGTCCCATCATCTTGCTGAAGGACTGCACCAACACCATACTGACTTGCATCTGTGGTCAACACAAATGGCAAGGTAGGGTCAGGTAGTTTCAGCACAGGTGCCTGGGTAAGTGCTTTCTTCAATCTGGAGAAAGCCAACTGACAAGTGGTGGACCACCTGAAGAGAACATCCTTGGCTAGCAGATTTGTCAGGGGAGTAGCAATAGAGGAAAAGTTCCTGATGAAATTCCTGTAGTAAGAAGCTAACCCAATGAAAGATCTGATGTCCCTCAAAGTCAGTGGTTGTGGCCATTCCCTGACTGCAGCCACTTTAGAGGCTTCAGGGGATAAACCATCTGCAGAGATCACATGACCTAGGTACAAAACAGAGGAAACACCAAATGATGATTTCTCTTTGTTTARTTTGTACTTATGTTCCCTCAGGACCTGCAAAACTTTCCTGAGGTGGTCTGCATGCTCCTTGGCATCTTTACTGTATACCAGAATGTCATCCAGGTACACCACAACAAAGCGGTCAAGGAAAGGTCTGAAAATGCGATTCATTTCAGTCTGGAATGTTCCTGGTGCATTGCATAGACCAAAAGGCATGACCAGGAACTCATAGGTGTCATACCGGGTTTTAAAGGTTGTCTTGTAGACATCCTCTTCAACCATTTCGATCTGATGATACCCGGATTTCAGATCAATTTTGCTGAAGACTTTGCAGCCTTGCACCATGTCCAGCAAGYCATCGATCCTAGGCAAGGGCTCAGAGCTCTTCCTAGTGATCTTGTTCAGGCCCCTATAGTCAATGCACATCCTGAGTTCACCATTT